ATTCTTTGTAATCTATCAGAAGGAAAATCAACTATCCAATTGGTAATACTAACTGGCAATTTACACTTAGTACGCAATTTTCTAATCAGAATTTCATGGTCAATAAAATCAAAGGCCTTTCGATAATCAAATAAGATTGTTCTTACTGTAGCGCCATTTCCATCAGTGTTAATAGGCCTCCAAAGTTTTATAAAAATTTGGCCTCCAAAGTTTTATAAGCCTTTGACACTTTATCAGAGTAGTTGCCACCGCAGTCATAACGCCGCCCCCTAAAAACGGACGAGCTTTGGACCCCAAAGACTCAAATAAAAATAGCCTTTTGAAATTCGCGGGGCATTTGTTATTCAGTAAGTTGAAAGCGCCTCACGTTTCTTTTATGGGTGGAAATCAGTTGCTCTTATACTTATACCCTACGCAGTGGTGTTTCAGTTATAATGCTTTATGTAACAAGGGTTCATGAAATTCCTCGATTACGTGAACACTTCAGACCAGATCATTTTTGGCTGTATTCTTAACCCATTGGATTGGTGTTTCTGCAAGAACAATTAGTAAAAGCTCCTCAAATTTACAACCAAAACATTATCTGAAACAAACTTGCAGAAATGGGAAGCCTTTACCCAAACAACTCCAAAGAAATTGATGTATTGATGATAGTATAAATTAAGCGGAAAGTTTGCTCTCAGAGAAAAATACACAAACGTTTCACAAAATGTCAGTATTAAAACCTAGTTATAGCTAATAGTTCTAAAACATTAGACTGTTCTGCGGTATTTTGTGATAACGAAGCATTTTGAAGCCTTCGGAAACAAGTTAAAATTGAATCGTTTTATATCCAATCAATTCCTATCCACGACATGACGCTATAAAATATTTAAAGTCACTTTCGATCAAATTTGATGGCTCATTTATAAATTATTTATTGAATTGTGACCATGTTAAATTAATTGAGTAGTTGTCGCCAAGTCGAGTAACCTCACTTGAGGAGGTTGTTGAACCTTGAAGTTCATTTCTTGTGGAGTTAGAGATGCCTAGCTAATGGGCACCTGGCTAGCTGGTATGGCCAGCTTGTTAGTGTCACTATATGCTGATCGCAGCTAGAGTTCAGGTTTTACTTGGCCAAAATGCCTATGTACTCACTTGATCAGACCCTATGAAGGCAAAAATTTAGTCCCATATGCCAAACAACAAAAGGCTCCACCTAACTGAGTAACAGTCAAGTTCCTTAGATGAAGCTTACCGCGAAAAAGCATAGGAGCAGCTTACCTCTAATGTCCTTAATGCGATAAAAACACTTCTAGCTATTTATTAACTATTCTCAAAAACAGTCACTTCTCGATATCTCCCTAACATCTAATGATTTTAAATCTTTTTTTCCCACCAAAGTACAGATAAATGTTTCAACTCCAGATTTCGGCCTTTGAAGGTCTAAAGTAATCTTAACGCGATCATTTGAGGTCCTACAACGAGATTTCTTTGTAGTTCAGTCATAAGAATTATTCGTGTTCCGGGATCATTTGTAGGCTTAGAATGAATTACATTGTAGCACAGTACAGCTTTAACGTTATCCGTCGATATGTAAAACTTTTCTTCCTTAACCCTTTGCAACTTAACATCCCGCGTATGTCTATCATTTGTTCTTCCGTGACATTCTTTAAGGTGCAGACAAGGAGAATTTTTTAATAATCTAGAGTGCTAATTCATTTCCTTTATTTCCGTGACTTTAATGTGTGATTCGGGGGTGATATTGTAAGGAGAAATTAGATGCTGGTCACTCTTAGGGGTCAAGGAGTTGAGGAACATGGGGGGAGAGGGTCAGGAGAAATTAGATGCTAGTCACTCTTAGGGGTCAAGGAGTTGAGGAACATGGGGGGGAGGGGGTCAGGAGAAATTAGATGCTAGTCACTCTTAGGGGTCAAGGAGTTGAGGAACATGGGTGGAGAGGGTCAGGAGAAATTAGATGCTAGTCACTCTTAGGGGTCAAGGAGTTGAGAAACATGGGGGGAGGGGTCAGGAGAAATTAGATGCTAGTCACTCTTAGGGGTCAAGGAGTTGAGGAACATGGGGGGAGAGGGTCAGGAGAACCTAGATGCTGGTCACTCTTAGGGGTTAATAGGTTAATTCACTCGATTAACAGCTAAAAAGCGTGTATGACTTCATAGAAAACTACAGAGTGACTGAACTGGAAACGTCTCTCAAATATAAAAGTTTACGTCAAACAGAAGAGATATAATATTAATAGTGTCAAGTATGACTGTATCTGCAGTTGCTAACGATAAGATTGAAAATATTGATCATGTAATGAAGTGAACTTTTTGTTCCATAGAATAGATATCAAGACCAATATCAGCAAGTATTCGTTTTAACTTTTCTCGGCGAATATAAGCTACCCTTGTCCAACATAAAATTTTCGAACTAGTGACGTGAAACACCGGTTTGTGTGTAATATGGAACTCTTAGTCTGGTTCTGCAGAACTGAAACATAATTCGGTAAATGGTTTGAACGCGGGGGTAACATGTGAAAGTGTAGTTCGATCGTCTGGGTGAGCGAAGTCCTGAGAAGGACTGTAGTCAGTGCGGGTAACTGACGTTTCGACGACTTGTGCGGAAGTCATCATCCTTCAGAGTGAAGTGAATAGTTGTTGTCAGTAGAATGTTCTTGGTCCGGTTCGTGTAAAATGATTGGTCAGTTTTGCCGTGATGTTATTGGCTGTAAGACTCAAGTGGTGTAAAACGGTCGTGATTGGTCTGTTTCATAAAAACATATAATTGCATGAAATTTTTTCTTCTGCTCGCATGGATAATAGAATCGAATCGATAATGCTGTGACTCAGTTTAAATTTATGCCCAGTTTCATCTAGTGCAATCTTTTGTCAACTTCCTCCTCTCATTCTAACCTCCATCGGGTTAATTAAGAGTTTCCTTGGAAATGAACGATAGTTCAAAAGTTTAGAGCACCGACTGATCAAAAACAACAAATCAGTCGATGACTGTAATCTGTCATTTGACAACGAGGGAAGGATCTTTATGAAACCTTTGATTATTTCTTCCGTTTTACTTTTTTTCTTAGTCAAAATTCTGGTGATGTTACATGCTAATGAAATGATATAAAGAGAGAGGACATCGGGGGATAAGGAAAGGAGCTGCAAGACTTTAACCGTAATATATATAGATAATCTATAATCCGAGGCGTTCGCACGGAAACAATGTTAAAGCTTCTTAATGACATGACACTGTAAAATATTTAAAGTCATTTACCATCAATAGGCCCAATAAAGGCAAAAATTTAGTCCCATATGCCAAACGACAAAAGGCCCCTCTGACCTGAGTCACACCTCTACCCCATAGCTACTTAATAGGCCCTAGCCATGAATAGTGGAGTGCGGCCCTTGAATGAAGTTTACCGCGAAAAAGCAAAGGAGCAGCTTATCTCTAATGTCCTTAATGCGATAAAAACACGATTAGCTATTTATTAACTATTCTCAAAAAAATAGTCCCTCCTCGATATCTCACCAAAATCCAATGATTTAAATTTTTTTTCCACCAAACTACAGATAATTGTTTCAGATGAAGATTTCGGCCTTTGAGGGTCCATAGTAATCTTACCGCGATCATTTGCGGTCCAACAATGAGATTTCTTTGCAGTTCAGTTATAGAAATCATTCGTGTTCCGGGATCATTTGCAGTCTTGGAATGATTTACATTGTAGCACGGTACAGCTTTAACGTTATCCGTCGATATGTAAAACTTTTCTTCCTTAACCCTTTACAACTTAACATCCCGCGCATGTACATTGTTCTTCAGACATTTCCTAAGATACAGACAAGGAGAATTTTTTAATAATCTAGAGTGCTAATTTATTTCCGTGACTTCAATGTGTGATTTGGGGGTGATATTGTAAGGAGAAATTAGATGCTAGTCACCCTTTGGGGTTAACAGGCTAATTACTAGTCTCGATGAACAGCTAAAAAACCGTGTCTGACCATAATATAAAGCTACAGAAGACTTCACTGGAAACGTCTCTCAAATAGAATAGTTTACGTCCAACAGAAGAACAATCATATTGGTAATGTTAAGTATAATTTGAATCTGCAGTTGTTTACGATAAGATTGATAATATTGATCATGTAATGAACTAAACTTTTTGTTCCATAAAATGTATATCAAGACCAATATCAGCAAGTGTTCGTTTTAACTTTTCTCGGCGAATATTAGCTACCCTTGTCCATCATAAAATTTTCGAACTAGTGACGTGAAACACATGTTGTGTGTAATAGAACTCTTGGTCTGGTTCTACAGAACTGAAACATAATTCAGTAAATGGTTTGAACCCGGTAGTAACGTGTGAAAGTGTAGTTTGATCGTCCGGGTGAGCGAAGTCCTGAGAGGGACTGTTGTCGGTGATGGTAACATACGTTTCGACGACTTGTGCGGAAGTCATCATCAGAGTCAAGTGAATAGTTGTTGTCAGTAGAATGCTCTTAGTCCAGTTCCGGTGTAACATGATTGGTCAGTTTTCCGTGATGTTATTGGCTGTAAGACTCAAATGGCGTAAGTCGGTCGTGATTGCATCGGTCTGTTTCATAAAAACATAATTGCATGAAATGTTTTCTTCTGCTCGCATGGATTATAGAATCGAATTGAAGATGCTGTGATTGTTTAAATTTATGCCCAGTTTCATTCAATGCAATCTTTCGGCAACTTCCCCCTTTCATTCATTCTGATGTATTCAGATATTGAAGTCTCGGTAAAAGAAAATAGTTTCATTAAAATATGTAATTTTTTAACTGTTTGAGTTGCTTTGGTTTACAATAGCTCAGCCGTTAAATCAACTATATTTTCACTTACTTACTTTAATCGAGCACAACATAATTAATGACCGCATTCAATTTACACAAACTATTAAAAAAGCAAGTCAGTTAAAAGACAACAGGAACTTAAATTAAGTCATCAATGTGCATTCAAGGTGACTAAAATGGAATAACACAATTTGATTTAAATAATAGTGTTTAAAGAAGCTGTAGACCTGTTATGTGGTGGCTTAGTTTGAGACTGCCTCGAGACAATACGTTCTGTCCTTGAACTTTTAGCTCAGGTACAAAATTGGTATTGTTGGACACGACTGTCGGTTTTTCAGTCTTGAAGACCTCCTCTACAACTTTTTTCACGTCCAGTGGCGCAGTTTATTTATGGCTTTGCTCAACGACATGCCAGTTTAAGATTCGATACTGTTACTATATTAAAATTTATAGCCTTTCATGTAGAAAATCAGAAAAAAAGTAAAAGTCTGGTGCCCTTTGTGAACAGAAAAATCACTAAGCGAAATCTTTTGGATTTTTATTTTTATTTTTTTCTTTTCAAAAGACGTACTGACAATATACAATTCAAACAGTCATTTTTTTGTCACCTTTCAATTTTGAATGACTATCAATACAGTTAATACTGTACACAGTACACAGTTCACCTCAATACAATAACGGTGCTAGCGCTCACGTCAGTTGTCGAGTTAATACAAGAGGATACTTCTCTACTCTTGTGTCTACCAAAATAAAACGAATATCTGATTTCACTTGCTTTATAAAGGAAGTGTTAAACGGAAAGCTGGTTTAAACCTTCCCATTTCAGTAGATAAAAAAGCAGCATACTTTGATAAAATAAATTTTCTCTGAATGTGACAATTGATGGTTTTGTAGAATCTTTTCCTCGCTAACTGAAAGTTATTTGTGTTTCTTTATGGGTGAAAAATAGCTGCTCTTACGCCAATACCCTCTGCAGTGACGTTTCAGTGATATTGCACTTTCGTAACAAGGGTCCATGAAATTCCTCTATGGCGTGAACACTTCAGACCAGATCATTATTGGATGTATTTTTAGCCCATTTTCGTTGGTGTTTCTGCTACAACAATTAGTATAGCTCCTCAAATATACAACTGAAACGTTATCTGAAACAAACTTGCAGAAACTGCAAACCTTTACCCAAATAAGTCCTAAGAAATTGATATATTGATGATAGTAAAAGTTAAAAGAAAACGTTGCTCTTAGAGAGAAATACACAAACGTTTCACGAAATTTAGTAGTTACAACTTCTAGTTATAACTAATTACAAGACTGGTCTTATTAGTAAAATCATGGATTTTTTTCCGATGATAAAGGGCCACATTTTTATATCTTCCTCAATTCCGCTGAGAATCACAATATCAGAGAAAAATTAAAATTTTCAGAAACCGTAATATTTCTTGAGGGTTTTAAAATGCGCAGGTGGATAATTAGTCGAGACCACTAAAAGGTGCTATTTTGGAACCTTTTTGTACTGTATAAAATGGGGTGATTTTCAGTTTTGGGTACATCATTCGGTAGAGAACCAAAGATGGCTAGAGTTTTACAATTTCTCGCTGCTTTTCTGGCAGTTTTTGCTGTCGTAAGTGCTGAAACCTTAGAAGAAAATGCTTCAAATCCTGAGGAGATAGCAGCGGAATTCGAGCTTCAAGACTTAAATGAAGGTTTAGAAGACGTCGCTTATCAAGGGGAAGAAAAAGGTACCGGAAAGACGTTTCATGAGATTTCTTTAGAATAGTTTTTAAAAATGTTGAGAAATCTGTTGAGAAAAGTTTCTGTTGCACTGCAACCCTTTGAGTCTTTTTCTTCCCGGGTGATGCATATATACTGTATCATGGTTGTTAGATTTTGGGAAAGGGCGCAGGAAGAATTATATAATGAGCAGTGAGCGAATTTCAATACTTAAATATGTTAAGAAAATTAGTGTTTGTGAGAACTATTGTGTAAACATCGTCGCTTTTTAAGTACGCTAGACCTTGTTGTTTCACCCGTTATTTCGTCTCTTCTTTCATCTGTTTTTTTTTTTTCGTCTTATTTTATCATAAAATAATCTGTAAGATGCCAAGGAGTTATACAGCTATACGGTTAGTCGACCCTATAACCACTTAGTCAAACAATTGTGAAGCAATCAATAAATCAATTGGTTGATGGACATTCAGGCATTCATTAATATTGTAGGCTTATCCTTTTCAGCCGAGGACAGCAAAGAAGCGAAAGAGGAACTAAAAGAAAATGCTCCCGTGGAACAAGACGCCACTGAAGAAGAAACCTCTGACGAAGCTGTTGAGGATAATGACCAAGGTAGAAGAAAAGAGTTTCTTGACTGCACAAAATGGCAAAATAGCGAAGCACTTATCGAAACTAGGAGATACAACAATATCGAAAACTTAACTCATGCTTTATTTTCCGATTGAATACGCCACTTAGTTTTCACTTTGATATAGCCAAGTTCAAAATGTACCATTTTGAATTATGAAGCAATCAATAAATCAATTGGTTGGAAGATAACAGTAACTCATTCAGACATTTAATAATATTGTAGGCTTATCCTTTTCAGCCGAGGACAGCAAAGAAGCGGAAGAGGAACTAAAAGAAAATGCTCCCGTGGAACAAGACGCCACTGAGGAAGGAAACTCTGACGAAGCTGTTGAGGATCAAGGTAGAAGAAAAGATCTAGAGTTTCCTAAACCAAATGGAAAAAAGCCAAACACTTCTCGAAACTAGGAGATACAACACATGATATCGAAAACTTAACTCATTTATTTTCCGATTGCATATGCCACCTAGTTTTCACTTTGATATAGCCAAGTTCAAAATGTACCATTTTGAATCATTTCCACCACTCAGGTCTGATTGTAATTTCAGTAAATATATTAGCAAGGCAGCCCGTGTCTCCCTCAGCACAATAGAAACGAATACGGAATGCAGTATGCCTAGCCTCTATCAGGAGTGCTTGGCTCGGATTCTCGAGATCAGGAAAGATCACGCATGTTTGGAAACTATCTGTAACAGCAACCAATTTCTCGAATAACCATGATTCCATGAAACAAGCGATAAATCAATGAGTCAATGGCGGAAAGCGGACTCGATCAGTCATTTATTCTAAGAACTCAATACTTTTTCAGCTGAAGACGCTGAAGAGGTGAACTATACACCCGTAGAACAAGACGCTATTGAAGAAGAAACTTCAGACGAAGCTGCAGAGGAGGAGAGCGACCCTGGTAAGAAGAACAGGTTTCCTAAAGTAAATGGCAAAAAGCGAATCAGTTGTTAAAACTAGCTAGAAGAATTTCGAAAACTCGACTTATAACTGAAAAATAGTCTAAACTGTGGGAGAAATCGAATACTCAATTTCGATTGCACATGCCACTGACTTTTCACTTCATAATAATGTGCATGGTTCGTAGTAATTTTTGTGCATGCCCATTGGCCAAGAACAGGTCATTTAATCCCAAACAACACAGAAAGTTAGAATAAAGCGGAGAAAGTTGAAATGGAATTGATTGATAGATATGTCGCGAAAGCAACACAGAACAAAATGGTGGAAAGGTCAACAGAAAGTTACAACGTTATAATGTAGAGTGTTTTAAGGAAAATGCCAAAAAAAAAAACACCCGACAAAGGACAAGCAATTGACTGAAAGACTGGAAGTCTTAGCCTTTCAAAAACAGCTACGGAAGTATGAACTGAAGGCCCTGAGTAAAATTCAACAAGAGCAACAGTTCGTACAAAAGACAGGGCAGATTTCGAGCGCGCTGCCTTTCGTGTCATGGTTACTTCTGTCTACTGATACCTAACGGAGAAAGAGTAAAAACGCTTGATTATTCATGAGAGAGATTTTAAAAGCTTGAAGCAAGTTCTTGAGGGAAAGGCTCTACTACTCCGGCAACAAGGAAAACCAGTTAGCCATGACACGAATGAAAAACAACTAAAGAGCAAAACAGCCCGACGGGCTCGTGCATAAGCTACACATATAGCTAAGTTCAAAATCAGTACCATCATTATTTAGTTATTAAAATCACTCATTAACGTCATGAACTTAATACTTTTTCAGCCGAAGACATTGAAAAAGCGGAAAATACTCACGTAGAACAAGACGCCAATGAAGAAGAAACTTCAGACGAAAATTCTGAGGAGGAGAGCGACCAAGGTAAGTAAAAAAAGTCTTTAAACGAAAGCGTAAGAACAGCGAAGCAGTTTGAAACTATACTTTTTGTGAGTGGTGATCACATGATTCTTACTTGGAAAATTGTCCCTCTTTTCTGAAGAAGAGGAAGCACAAGACTATCAACGAGAAGATGAAGAAACCAGCGAGGATGAAGCAGAAGATGGGATTCCATTGAGGAGATGTGGCTTCAAGCTATACAACCCATTGACTCATAAATGTTGCTTTGGCAGACAAATCGTTCCCAAACATAGTAGCTGCCCTCGTCCTCTCCCGAGGTGTGGTTTAATTCCCTACAATCCGAGGACCCACAAATGTTGCATTCTCGGCCGTTTACGAAGAGTAATCCCCAGATCTTCAAGCTGCCCCCGCAAATGTGGCCTGGTTACCTACAACCCGAATACCCAGAAATGCTGCATCCTTAGCAGCTCACGAAAAGTCGTCCCAATATTCGCAAGCTGCCCTCGTCCTCTCCCAAAGTGCGGTTTGGTTCCCTACAACCCGAGGACCCACAAATGTTGCTTTCTTGGCCGTTTACGAAAAGTCGTCTCCAGATCTTCAAGCTGCCCCCGCAAATGTGGTCTAGTAACCTACTACCCGAATACCCAGAAATGTTGCATCCGTGGCAGCTCACGAAGAGTCGTCCCAATATTCTCCAGCTGCCCTCGTCCTCTCCCGAAGTGTGGTTTCGTTCCCTATAACCCGAGGACCCACAAATGTTGCTTTCTTGGCCGCTTACGAAAAGTCGTCTCCAGATCTGCAAGCTGCCCCCGAAAATGTGGTTTGGTAACCTACTACCCGAATACCCAGAAATGTTGCATCCGTGGCAGCTCACGAAAAGTCGTCTCCATATTTTCTAGCTGCTCTCGCACATGATACGGAGAACTCCACAGCATCTATTATCAGAGGTGCTGCACCAATGGAAGTGTAATTCCTAAATATAGCAAACGCTACAAGGCATATTAATCTGGTCTTGTTGCCCAGAAACCAGGGATGTCAAACTGCTTGTTTAGCAGCAAATAATTTTTACTTTACGAATTTTTGTATGAAGAGTAATGTAATCGCAACCACTAATTTGTAAAGCCAATCCTATCACCAACTGACAATACTAAGTAATTCCGAATGATGCGGGTGTTTACGAAAGTTAAGTAATGGTTAGTTGAAATAAACTAAAATGCTTTTTCACTACTTTGTTGTTGTCTTTACAGAGAGGAAGGGTTCCCATTAAATTTAATGTGCACTTTTCAGAAATCCTTTCTTGTCACTTTTGCTAGAGGCTACCCATTCAGAAAGAAAGTCTTAGACCGGCTTTTCTTGGTAATGTTGAGTTACCTTCGAATATTCTTAGTTTTATATAAATTACGAGCATTTGGAAACTTAG